CTATGGAATTTTAGGGTACTTATTTCTATCAATTAAGGAGAAATGTAGTAAAAGCCTTAGATATTCGCAAAATCGCAGAATATAAAAGTCCGATTCGCCCAAAAACAATGAGCTCGTAAAAAACCAAGTGAAAGTTCACTTTTTCCATGATATGCCTATAAGAGTCTTCGAACAGTGTCTCTCTATGAACAATCATGTCACATTTGCCATTTGAACCTGCTCGAGGCAACTTTGAATGCAAGTATTCTACCTGAAAAATGATTATGAAGAGCCTTAGAAATAAAAATAGTTAATTAATTAAAAATCAAATTAATTAATCAATTGGAAAGCTTCACTTAGACAGAATACTAGAAAAAGCTTCACGAACCTTTCTCTTATAGTCTCTCGAGTACGGTATCGCAGGTCCTGCGATGCTTTCGTTCTCAAAGCGTGGATCCTGGAAAGTCGCAGGTTTTTATTCAAAGTGGGAAGAATGAAAAAACCAAGAAGCGTTTGGTTTTCAAGCCGCAGAGTCTGAAAATGAGAGACCTAAACCAACCTCCCATTGCGTTCTTCTATTGTTGTGGTCGATGAAGAATACCCTGCCGTCTGTATGGACCTGCAAAATATTGGGTGCGATTCTAGTAAGGAGCAGAGGATATTCAGATAAAACGAACCCGCTGTTCCCATCCTTCTGGTAAAGCACCGATTTCGTCGTCCGTCTTTCCGGAGACCGGCCGACTGGCCGCTATACCAGTTCGCGGATCCAGCCATGTGGTAGTTTTTGTGCGATGGTCGATGAAGAACGTTCGACCGTTTGGAGCAATCTGAAACGCCAACCATATAATTCACTTCCTTTAAACTTGCTGATCTTGTAGGAGACACAACAGAGGATTGTGAATAACAGAGGGTAATATTCAGAGAAATGTGATGTGAAGAAAGTCGGAAAAATCAGATCTCACGACCTATTCATAAACGAACAAGTTGTTAGAAATTACTTTCCATTCAACATATTTTGAAGAAAATGAGCAAGTGGTCTAGCAAACCGTTTAAAAGGAAATTATAAAAATTATAAAAAAAAAGCCATAAGTTTATACGGAAAGCTAATTAAAAGAGTAATCAAGGTTGAAGGAAAGCTGTTGATCGCTTGTCAAAAAGGAAAAACCTACAGGAATTCACAAATGGAGTAAGAAATTTATGGAAGAAAATTGTGGAAAATTCTGGCTGGTAGTACATCCACTTACTTGCATATCCCAGCCTTCAGGTAATGGTTCATCTTCGGCTTCTCCATTTGCTTGTGTACCGCCAGCAAAATTAGAGCGCATCGCACTGTCTATCTGCAATTGACGATAACTTGAGTGAACCAAAAGGAACAAGGTAATAATATGACAGCCAATATCCTCTGGCATAGAATCTTACAGCTTACGATACACAGGTGTCACATACCGCGTCAAGCTGACTTCGGACTGCATCTGGACTAGAATTCGTGATTTGACGCCGTCGTTCATAGTCATCACGTCGGCGTCGTACCTCATCTTCGGTGCGTTCTCGTTCTCTAAAGATTCTCAGTCATTTTAATCCGTTATTTCATCTTCTTCATAAAAAAGGATGCCCTATAATTGTTTCAAAAACGTTTGAGCACGACATACTCTTTTGACATAATTCTTATTTCCCTTCCGGCTTCATTTTTCTCAAGTTGAGATTTGACGCTGAAGAAGAATTGATTCACCAAGACCAAGAACGAAGACCCAATACGGATTGGAAACTCTACCTCAATCGCAGTACTGTTCTACACCACTACAAATAATAAATGTCGGAAAATATCTCGATTCGGTTGTGAAGCAGTCATGATTATGGTAATATTTTGAACCCGTAGTAAATTTCTTTCCTACCACCAGAACTATTGATTGAAAATTTAAACTAGGCTTTCCCTCAATTCTAATTCCACCATATAATGGGCGGTTTCGGGAAAGCAGCAAAAAGAAACAATAACGGAGTACATCATGGGATTAACGACGATTAGTGCCATGGAGATAGAAGCACAGCCAGGGCATGTCCAGCAGATCCGTTGTGTGTTCCTCAGAAGCACCCAAAACGATAACAAGGATCTATACCAAAAACACCAAAATAGCAACGTTAAGTACTTGAAAAAATTTTTCGAGAAAACGTGAGATCCGTCGGGGATTTCGAAAATCTCATCAAGAACAAGCTTTGAATACTTCTTCTTTGATACAGCCATCAGTTATTTCCTCATTTATTAAACATCAAAGAGACCTATCAGAAGAGATGCGATGTAGCATAGAAATATATCCTATCAGTTCAAATGACAGACCACTTTAATTCTCGAATTTCTTAGGAAAACAGCTCGTATCATCCCATTATAGGCTACCACAAGATCCGATAAACTAGAGAGTAACTGGGGCGAAAGAAGACTATTTTTAGACTGAATGCGTTCTTTCAAGGAAAATTATTGGACTCACGTTCCGTTCATTTGCGTTGGTCGATCCCAATGCGTTGTACGCTGAATGTGATTGACGTAAAACGTACGACCATTGCCGTCTTCTCGTTCCTCCCATCCTTTAACAAAACAATAAAAACGTTTTTACAAATGAATTACTGTGTTAACACTAAGGCGACTGATGAACCGATGCAATCACGTGCCTTTGCCATTGAATATGCTTCGGTTTCTGACTGTTTTTTTGTTGCATCAAAATTGAGATCTAATAAAGTGGAACTAGCAAAATTAGCTTTTTCTATGACATTTCTGACAGGGTTATCTACAATTTTATGCATAGAAAACCTTGTAATTAATCAGCAGAATAGACACGAAGTTAGCTTTCGTTTCTAATTTTAAGGTTTCAAATAAAAGCTGCTCAAGGAAGTAATGAATAGAAATTGAAAGTCAGTGATTCAAAATAAAAATAAAACAGCAAAAGGAACAAGAACGGCCTGTAGACTCACCTTCTGGCATGGAATCGTTCACTTGCAGATCACTAGTTGACTCGTTAGGAGACTGATTCGATGGCAAATAATACATTCCTATCCAGAGGTTACCAATATTCCTGGAAGTGAGATTTCATAGCCGACAACTGGCTTGATATTAATTTTTGAACGTTGGCTTACCATGATAATTAATTGTCTTCTATAAGGTCAATGAAAATTTGACCAGAGCAGAGATAGTTTAGAAAAAATCGATGTGGGTTACCGAAAAGGAAAACTGCACCTGTGCCGTCCACCCTTCAGCGGGAATACTGACGGGGGCCGTGATTCGCTGCCAATATTTTCTGTTGCCAAATTGAATTCCACCGATCCTAGAAGGGCATCCTTTCGCTGAAACAATCAAGAGCTTCAATTAAACCTAGTCTAAAACGTGTTTATAAAACAAAATAATTGGCGTCTAGCGAGATCAAGGCACAACAGTAACTCTAAAATGGTCAGCAGAGTGTTCAAGGTGTCAGAAAACGCGAGCTTTGTAGGATGTTCAGGCGGATCAGACTGGAATTCCTGTCACTTCATTTGACTGTTTTATTTCGGATATTCTTATTTTCTCTGGACTTAATATAAAAATATGTATGTGGAGAACTTTTGGAAGACCGCTCAGCTGCACGATACCATTCTATCGACTGACAATGAGATCTTTTTTTTGCTGAAGCTTCATTTGAAAATTCCAACGAAGATCGCCATTCCATCCATCGGCAGAACCATTAAACCTCATTAAAACTCATTACCATCAGTATTAATCGCTCAATTTGAAATAACCAATATTATGAACGAGCAGGAAGAAAAGCCTACTCGAGGAATGCCATTGGTGTGGGGATGAATCTACTCGAAAGTAAAAACAACTGCAAGTGCGAAGGTACACGTTACCTAGGCCGCATAATGAGATGCAAATCATAATCAGTCAGACAGTTCGGATGCGTTTTACGTAACAGCGGGCATGGGAAACATTGATTTTTCCAAACAACACTATTATAAACCAATATTGATTCTCAATATCTTTCAATACTGATCAATGCTGTTAAAAAGTGAACTTACAATTTTATTCTCATCGAAGATTAGAAACTTCAAGCAGCATTGTCTCGTCACGCGTAACGTTATTATTGAATTCCATACTGGATCCCGAGTCTGAAAGGTCACAAGTCAGCTTTCTGACCGACAATAAAAAAAAATTCTAGAATGCACGTGGAAAAAGTACTGTGAAAGGTTAGCTGTATTCGGGCATTTCATTCAAATTCTTTGAAGGTGGTGGTGTTACCACTGCGGGTACTAGCACAGGGCTGACAACAGTTTGCACATGGTTGTCAAGCTAGGTCCTCGATTGAATACCACAATGCTCTAAACTTTTACAGTTTCGTCGGAGAGCTGAGTGCTGCGCCAAGGCCATTAACTACTGCTTTTAAACGATCCACTAGTAAAACGAAGGGTACAGCTCAGAATATCTTAAGTTTTTACATGAAATTTCACTCTAAAATCAACAAAAACCAAAATGTGTGGGCGGTTTTCGTAGCCGAATTCCCACGGTAAGTGGCAGCAAGTTTGCGGCAGTTACCGTAACCTTCCACCAGTAAATCGAACCCTTCCTCTGCAGAGCGCAAACAGGAGACAGTCGGTTGGCGCGGCCCCTCGCATCGCGACGTCCATTCGACGCGGTTTCTGAGCTAGACAACTCGCCCAGGCGATTCACCTTCCTGACCATGCTAATCGGTCAACCCACTGCCCACCCAGCTTATATACGCCCGATCAATGACGAAACTTATCAGACGCCGAATCGCGACCTCGTATTCTGTCTCTTTGGATCGATTAGCACGGTCGGGGAGTCCCTGGACGAGTTGTCCATCCAGAAACCGCGACGCGATGGCAGGGACCGCGCAAGCGGCTGCCGCGAGCGCGACACGCCGTTGGGGAACGAATATCACACATTAAAAAAGCATACTTATTAGAGGGATTTTAACGTCCCATGAATGTGTGACACCGTAACCCCCTGTTGTCCCACCCCCACCCCCGTGGGCTTCACCCGGGATACCTTTTCTGGTGCTAAGCGGGTTGGGGAAGGGGCACGCGGCGCTCTCTCCGGCGAGACAGTGAGAAGGAAGAACAGCAGAGCCCCTAATGGTGTTTAGGGACGTTTCATAGCTTTTTTTATGTTATAACTGTGTATTATTCATCTAAATTTAGGAAGGGGAGGGGCTCCGAGGTGGCTGAGCCAACTGGACGTTCAATTTTTATCTCATCTGAACTTTTTGCTTGAGATAACCATCTCACCCACCTCCGGAGCCCTCAGAAGAAGAGTATCCATAATATGCAAGCATATAACATGTACCAAGAGTTAGTTTGTTTCAAATCACGAAACACATCAGTACAACCTTACCATCCCTTGCCAGACTCAGGCCCTGTACTACTGCCTGGATGGAGAGAGCACCAGACGTCAACCAACCCACTTAGCACCCCTTTCCTTTGCGTCGTATATGTGAAGGGTGTTTTGGAGGCGCTTCAGCGTGTGTTTGGATTACTGTGTCACACATTCACAGGACGATTAAATTCGTCTTGTAGCATAGTTCTACGTACGTCTTCGTCGTTCACTTCTCCCTTTTTTGTCTGCTATTTTTTGCTTCAAAGCAAAACATGTTGTAATGTCCCAG